CCTTTTCCTAAGAGCAATAGGAAGACTCAACTCATCAACAACTGAACCATCATCCACAGAAAGAATATCATCTACTGAAGGAATGATAGATTGAGGTGCATTTCCTATAGTTTGTCGAAACTGGATTTGGAACCAGCATAGAGGATGATGATTGACCTGGTGGCACAAGAGAAGTCTCTTTGTGAATAAGTCTTAAGATCAACCTTGTCTAAACGGCCACCTATGCTAGGCTCTCCATCAACAGGACTCTTAGGTTCCCCCTCATCACAAATAATAGCCCGCTGATATGACATCATCTCATCCGCAATTTCATCTATAATACTCTCCCCCTGAGGAGATGGCGGAGAAGAAAAGAAAGACTTAGATTCACGAAAGGTAACATCCATACTAACATGCATCTTGCGAGTTTGAGGATCATAGCATTTGTAACCTTTCTGAGTAGCGGAATATCCAATAAAAGCACAAACGTGTACCCTTAGGATCAAGCTTCCCACGAGTACGAGGATAAAGATGAACAAAGTAGACACACCCAAAAACCCGAGGTAGAAGAGAAGCAGTAAGATAAGTCACAGGGAGAAGTTCAATAGGAATTTGGAATTGGAGGACATTGGAAGGCATGCGGTTAATAAGGTAAGCAACGCTAAGAACAACATGCCTTCCATTCTGTTGAGAGAGCAAGCAACTTTAAGGAGATGGCTATTCTTGTGTTCAGCAATTCCATTCTGTTGAGGAGTACCAACACAACTAGTCTGATAAAGAATGCCATGCTCTTCAAGGTATGCCCGAAAACTACTGTCAACCTACTCAATCCCATTGTCACTCCAAATAATTTTGATGTTAGCATTGAAGTGATTGGTCACCATTTTATGAAAAAGTCGAAAGTAAGAAAAAACCTCATTTTTAGTTTGAAGCAGGTAAATCCAAGTCACACATGAATAACAATCAATAAAAGTAACAAACCACCGATACCCAGAAGTAGAAATCACAGGGGAAGGCCCCCACACATCAGTATGAACAAGCATAAAAGGAAAATTACTTCTTTTATTTACTGGCGGATAACAAGTACATTTATGCTTAGCAAATTCACAAGCATCACAAACAAAATTATTCCGAGGACAATCTCGGACCAATGAAGGGAAATTTTTTTCTAAAATACTAAAGGAAGATGACCCAAACGACAATGCCACTGATGAAGAAGATGAAGGGAGGAGCTGGTAGTGCACTGAAGAGCTTGAGCCGAGGACAAAGGTAATGTTGGAGGGACGACATCCAAAAAATATAGTCCACCTTGTCTTCTACCACTGCTAATCATTTTCCTCGTAGCCAGTTCCTGAAAGAGACAATGAGTAGGAAAAAAAGGTCACATAACAATTTAGAGATGTAGTAAGGTTACTAAAAGAAAGTAAGTTGGTAGAAAAATTAGGAACATGAAGAACGGATGAAAGAGAAAGCAAAGAGGAACAATTAACCGAACCCTTGCTAGAGATTGAGGATAACGTGCCATCAGCCACTCTGACCTTATCTTGGCTAGAACAAGGAGAATAAGAATAGAAAAGACTAGGGAAACCTCTCACGTGGTCGGTAGCACCAAAATCAATAATCCAAGAAAGCGATGAGGATGTACTAAGGCCACTAGCAAGAATACCTGTGTGAGCAAAATTGGAAGAAATAGAAGTGGAAGGGGCTGTGGTAGATGGAGAATCAAGCTGAGCCATCAAACGCCTGAGAGCTATGAAGCACGGGTACTCCAAAAATAGTGCCGTACGAGTACCGGGTACTTATCGGGTGCGGGTACGCGTACCGGTACGGCTGGGAATTTTTTTTTTTTTTTTTTTTTTTTTTTTTTTTTTTTTTTTGCCCCCCCAAAAAAGAAATTTTTTTTTTTTTTTTTTTTTTTGTGCCCTTGCAGATCAGCTATTTTTTATTTTTATTTTTATTTTTTTGGTGCCCTTGCAGATCAGCAATTTTGATGTTTCTTTACTGTCCTGTCTATTTGTATGAATTGTATAAGCATATCAGCAAATGATTTTGATGTTTTTAAAAAGCAATTTGAACAAAAAAAATAACAAGGCCTATAAAGGGCAGTTCTATGTATGACTATGCATTATGCTTTTGCTTCAGATCCTCCTAGAATTTTTTTATAAAATCTTTAATCATAACAAACTTTTGAAGTTTATGCACAAAACATTAAAAATTGATACGGTATTAGTTGATTAGTAGTGGTTGGGAATGATGCAATTTTATGTATTATGCAAATTGCAATTGACAACCTGCCTCAATAGAGAATTTTTTTTCCTTTATTGTTGGCAATTAACCTTAAATCTTTCTTTGGTATCCTGTTATTTCTTTGGTTTCACCCTATAAAAATAGCAAATTGATGAGCAAAAAGAAAGATTTTAAAAATAAATTATGATCACAAATTCACAGTGCATAACATGTCAAAGTGAGAGATTTCACAAATATTATTTTTAACGCTTAGTGGTTTTAAATTATAAGAAAATGAGTAGTTCTCTTTTTAGTTTTGATATTTAATTTTAATTTGTAGGTTGGATCTTTTAACCATAATTATATAAAATATATATATATATATATCGGCGTACCGCAGCCGTACTCGTATCATATTTTTTTTGAGTTTTACCGAATCGGCGTACTCGCACTCGTACCCGTACCATACTCGTACCCGCACCCGTGCTTCCTTGCCTAAGAGTGTAGAGCTCATCTTGAGAAAGTGTACTAGTGTCAGAAGAAGTACTAGCAGTGATGTCTAACACATGTGCTTGGGAATGAGAAGCGCCACCACGGCCAAGGCCTCGAGTAGGACGACCATTCAGCTCCCAACAATGCTCTCTGTCATGCCTATCTTTCCCATAATAATCACACTTCAATCGATCTCGATCAACCAGTGTACCCTTACTCCCAAGCTGAACCAGACTAGGCTTAACATCCCAGGTGGTAGGAGTAGCAACCAAAGCAGAACGTTCCTGAATAGAAGAATGGACCATAGCACTCTGCCGACTCTCCTCTTGCTGAACCAAAGCATAAGCCTCGTGTAAGGTATGAAACAAAGAATGACCCATCACCTGAACCCGGATCAGATCATACTCCAAATTAAGGCCAGTAAGAAAGTCATACACATGCTCATTCTCTACAGATTGCTTAAACAAAGCAGCATCCTGGGAACAAACAACCTGGAAACTTTGATAATAATCAAGTTCATGCCACAAACTACTAAGCTCAGCATAGTACAAGGCAAGTGATTTGTCCGTCTGATCCAAGCCCCGAATCTTCTTCCTCAACTCATATGCCTAGGCATTATTACCCTGCTGTGAGTACATTTGTATGGTAGTGGTCCAAATCTTATGAGCCGTATCCAAAAGGAGAAATGTCCAACTAATAGTGGGCAGTATGGAGTTAATCAGCCAAGTCATAGCTAGAGCATTCTCAGAAATCCATTGAGTACGTGAATTACCATCAGCATTAGGTTGTTGGAGGGTACTGGTAATATAGCCAGTTTAACGTTGGGTAGCAATAGCAAGACTACGTAAGTGTGACCAAATCAGGTAATTAGTACCATCAAGTTTCACAGGATTGATTTGAAGAGACGGACTATCAATAAGGTTCATAAGACAATGCAATCCACTCTCTCCATTGACCTGTGGACCCTCAGCCTTAACCTCAGCCATTGAAAATTAAAAAAAACCAACCCAAACAACAACCCAACAGTACCACAGCAACAACACCAAGGGAGACAAATTAAAAAACCAACCTCAGAACCAAAAGTAGTACCAAAACACACCTAGATGACCTCTAGGCACAGAAAGCAGTACCAAAACACAGCCAGAATCACACCTAGATGAGCCGAAACTGACATAAATCAAGAGAAATCTCAACAAACCTTTAAAACAAGGACACCCAAGGCCTCCAAGGTGTCAGTCGGCCCCCAGGGATTAGGTTAGGAGAGAAGAAATCATCCAAAAGAGGTATGAAGCAGAGTTTCCAGAAAATCACCCATTTTTCCAAAAATAAAGAAAGAATGGAAAAATAATCAATGAATGACCAAAAAAATAAAACAAAAATCAGAGGCATGTTGAGAAGCCTCAGTTGATCATGATGGGACTTTTTTTATTTCTTTATTTTAATTTTTTTTAAGGCTATGATAGAAGAAAAATACAAAAAGTGACGAAAAAAAGAAGAAAAGAGCAAAAATATCTTCAAGGAGGAAGATGTCGCTTTGATACCATGTTGAATGTATAAATGATGAAGAAGAGGAAGAAGAAGGAGAGAGAGAGAGAGAGAGAGAGAGAGAGAGAAAAATGGCTGCTAAATATTATTGAATAAAAAACTTAGGGTTCTCCCCTTACACACAACTATTTATAATAATAATAGGCAGACGCAAATTACATAACTACCCTAACACTTAACATAAAACGTGATTGTTGAGAAGCCTTAGTTGATAGAGGTCAGAAGTTCAAAACTTGGGGAATGGGATTAGAGGGTTAGGGTTACTTCCGTCATTTGGTGCAGAAAGGAAATGAAATGAAAAAGAATTTGGCAGTCAAAATGCTTTGCTAACAATCTTTCAAACCTGTGTTGCCCTTCTAATATATATATATATATATATATATTTCATAGCTTGGATCAATCATTGAAATTCATCAAGAGGAGCACAAGATAAATGAGTTCATTCTTGACTATTTTATCATCTAATACTAGTATATTTTAAGATGCAGCTTTTTGATGATGCCATTGTCATAATTATGATCAATATTTTATTCAACAATATTAGAGATGTTGATTGAGTTTATTCAGTTGTCTTCTTTTTTATGGGAGTGCTTTTTGTTTTTAAATTAAGTTTGCTTTTTCGTTCTTAAAGGCGAAGATTAATGTACATGACTCTTCAGATATCAAGACACCATGGACCTCAAATATCTGAATCTTATTTCATCTAGAGCTGAAAATGCATTTTGTGGTTCTTACACGTTGAAATCTTGTTTTATCAGGTGAAGATGCAAAAACAAAATACTGACGTTCATGGTATAAAGTATAGAAGTGGTTTGCATTGCACTGCTAGGGTACTGCAGACTGAAGGAGTATGTTACTTGAACTTCTTGTCAGACCCATCTTAGATAGTAGCCAATTTAACAATTCTATGCCTTCTTGTGTAAATTCTCATTTATATAAGAATATGTGCATGTATATATGTATGTATATCTATGTGTACATAGACATCATGATACGAGTGATATGCAGGAAAAGGATGAGAATTGAGCAGGTTTGTATCACAGAAAAGACAAATCTTTTGTTGTTATACTTGAACACAAAATGAATTTTATGGTCTAGAAATTTGTGAGGTTCAACTGCTTTTGTTTGGTTGAAAAGCACTTTACCTCGGTAGCTTTACAATGGTGATGTCTTTTCTTCAATCTTATTTGAGATGATATTGAAAACTTTGCAAATCCTTGCTCTATGGTATCTTTTAGTGTATTAGCCTACATTATTGCTAAAATCATGTCACCCTCTGCGTCACTTTTTTACTATGCACTTGTTCATGTTCTTTATAATACTTCATCTTACTGAGCAAAACAAAAAATAAAATATTGATGACCTTCCCCACTGAAGTATACTAATGTAATATGTTATCATGTGAATTTGTCCAGTTACTTGCAGATGTGTTCCCTTTTCAATATTTATGCAAAATGATGCAGAAGAAGGATCCTTGGAACCAGACTCTCACCCTCTTTCTTTTGCTACAAAAATAATTTATTTATTTTTGATTTGCTCCTTTTGAACAATTTTTTTTTAATGACGGATAAAAAATCACATCCCTTCATTTGAAATCTGTAAGGGGGAGTTTGACACTAATAGTAAAGAACAATTAACTGGGGCTCAACTGTTTTTTAACAGACTCTTAATTGAGATGAGAAGAGCATTAAATGAAGAAATGAGCCATATATCTCAAAGGTCTATCTTCTTGCCCATCACTAATCTTTTTGTTTGTTCATGTATCTTAAGTATGAAAGAAATTCAATTTTTTATTGATAACTACTATAATTGATATGATATGAACTCCCAAACACACATTAATGTGTACTAACTGGACGTCGTTTTCTTTATGAAATCTCTAATTTGGAGATGCATTTCTTGTTTTAGCTTTTGTTTTTATAATTCTGGGTGGGGATTAAAGTTCTCCATGTTTTCTTTTCCCAACAAAATCTCAGAGATAATAGTTTTGACAGGTCAAAGGACTATATCGAGGTGCAACATCTTCTTTCTTGGGGGTGGCCTTTGAAAGTTCACTTCTCTTTGGCATTTATTCCCAAATAAAACAGTCACTGGAGGTTTGTTTGAAAGCAAATTTATTTGCTGATGAAATTTCATATCAATTGCAATGGCAAACCAGGACTTAGCTTCTGCAGATTAATTTTTTGCTTCTCATTAATATTTATGATCAATTCTCTCTGCCACTTTGTCTCGCTCTCTTTGGTCGGATGTAGGGAGGGCTTCAAAGTGGTAAACCACAGTCCTCAGTAATAATTCCATCTGCAGCAATTGGTGGAGGGATTATCAGCTTTGTACTATGCCCATCAGAGCTGGTGAAGGTAAGTGAATCAGAGCATTCATGCACTGCAATTTTGTTTCCCATATCATGCTTGTGACACTGCTTCTCCAGTGTAGGATGCAAGTTCTAGGAACTGACTCTTTGGTTCCCAAGTCCAGTAGATACAATGGTCCTCTTGATTGTGCCCTTAAAACTTTTAAAACTGAAGGGGTAAGAAAATCTATACTTGCTATGAAATTAGGCTTCTGATGTGATTTGGAGCTGACAAACTACCTTTCCAGGTTACAGGAATTTTTCGAGGAGGTTTTACAACCTTATTAAGGGAATCTATAGGAAATGCAGTCTTCTTTAGCACTTATGAGTCTGTCCGTTATTACATGCATTTACAATTGAAAGATGCTTCTTCTAACCAGAACAACTTGACTGATGTAGGAGTTGGGATTATGAGTGGTGGTCTCAGTGGAATAGCAGTGAGTTTTTTTTTTTTTTTTTAATGGAAAATGAGAAATAGCACTAAGTACTTCAACATCCTATCACGTCTCTGAATTAAGGACTGCTATTTACCTGTCCCCCTTTCTTCGCACAGTTTCTTTGGTTTGTTTGCATGTGTCAATTTGTTTCTTTCCACCCTAAACCCTATTTCCTTCAATTATTGCCTCCAGTTTTGGTCTGCTGTTCTGCCTTTTGATGTGGCAAAAACCATAATCCAGACTGCCCCAGACAGAAACTCCACCAGAAATCCATTTCAGATTTTGAAATCGGTAAAGTGTCCTCCATTAATATATTTTCAGACTTTGTAATGAATCTCACAAGGAATAAACAAGGGATAAAAGAATATGTGAGAGGCTTATTAGATTCTTTATGGTAGATTTACAGGAGATCAGGGCTTAAAGGATGCTATACAGGTTTAGGCCCAACAATTGTGAGGGCATTTCCTGCTAATGCAGCTGCAATTGTCACCTGGGAGCTAGCTGTGAAAATTCTGGGTGTCAAGCGTGAGTAAAGACGATTCGGCATTCTATTACCTAGAACTACAAATCATTTCTTGTCATTCCTGTTGGTGCATGCATTTGGTGGCTGTTGGCAAGGACCCTCATAACTCTTTTTGACATCGCCTGACTGCAAAATTACTAGTCTGAGACAAAAGCTTGGATTGATTCTTGTGAGACAGACAATGACCTGGTCCATCTTTTATCTGTCATGGGTACGGCTGACCAAATTTGCTCATTTGTTTTAAGTTATTTTTGTGAGCTTGGACACAGATTTAGTTACATGTGTATTTGATCCACATCTCCAGCTCTTCCAAAGCTGGACAAGTTTGTACCAGAGGAATAGAACTACAATTTTTATGCAAAATTATGATGATTCATGTTAAGATTACCAACAGGATTTGTTTCTTGTACATTTGTTTGGTTGTTGCAGCAATTTCTTGCTAACTAGTAACTATATTGTTTTCAAAGAAAAGAGAGAGCGCCTTATCTATAATGTCCGTACATATGAAGGGTGGGTTTCTCTAGGCTGATCTTTTAGCATTCTGCTCCAGCTGTTGCTTCAATTTGTCATATCGACTCTTCTTTAATTGACTATATTTTCTCGTACAAGTCCCAATAGTGTAACAACGACTACAGGAATTCATGCCATACTGAAATATCAAGATCACCATAATCGCTGAACGAGATGAATGTAGAGAAAGCTGTTTCTAGTGACTTGTAGACCTAGAGCACTGCCCTGTCCAATTCACCAATTCTGCTGTCCAGAGTTTTGGAATGCCGTCAATTTATTTGCTTTTGGTTCAAGGCAATACATGCTGGGACTCAATATAGGTTACTGAAGACCCTTCCTTCAGATGTATACATATATGACAACATTAGATAAAGGTCCTTAATTTGATGCATGCCGGAAAGTATAATCCTCTAATGGTGTTGCTGTTGCTGTTGATGGTAAAATATATGTTCTTTGGGGTGTATTATGAAGTGTTAACTTACTTTGCAACATAACTACCCCAATGTCAGTATTCAATCTGCATCTGCAGCCATGGACATCCCTGCTGACACTTCCCTTTAGTTTATATCCTTAATTGAAATGAATATTCAAATTTATGATTGTTTTGGCTATATGGGAGTGTTGGTCGAATAGATATCTATTATTTCAATGTGACGACCCCTCAATGGGACTACATAATGACGCTTGTGTTAATACTTCGCCCTTCAACGAGAGGGATGGATTTTAGAAAGTAATACCATACAGACATAACATTTATACAGAATGATGTGGCTCAATTGACTTTGATCACCTCAAATTAGAAGGGTCATTATTTTGCTTTTCAACATTGCCACATCATTCTAGATGGAATTTTTGTGTATATAATTTGTTGTTTAACATTTTCCATTTTTGAATGGTACATGGCATGTGCATAGTAAGGGAATAAAAGATGAACATTACATCGATATGACTCCAGTGGCAACAGTGTTTGGATGGTATGTACTTAATTTTTTTTGTCTGCCCATATATGTAATTGTAAACCATATATCTAATTGTAAACCATGTGGTTGGTTTATTTGGGTAAGTGGAAGAATTTAATCAGGACTTGTGATTGACATGTTTCAGCTTGCGAAATAGCATGCTGATGAGTGCAAGAACAGGGAGGGTGAGGTATTAACTTCTTTAGTTAAATTAAACTGCCTGGGAGGCAACAAAAAGTATTAGGGGCTCCATTGTTAGTTGCTTCCCTGTTGTTGGAGGATACAGACCTTGTGAAAAGGAGCACTATATGCAGTAGGAGGTGCCTGGCTCTAACTGTCAGCATGGAGGCAAACGCATGTTGATATTCTTGTAGCTTGTGGATACAACAAACCTTCTAGAGGCTGTGTTCTTGCAGGTGCAGTGCTTGGTGCTGTATTGTCATATATCTTAAATTATCACAATACAGAAGATCCAAAGATTGATTGGAAAGAGCTTCAAGGGCTTTAAGAGCTTACAAGAGATTTCTGGTATCTCACTCTGTCCCTTTTATCTCTTTCTGTAAACTTTCTTTCTTTTATATATTATTCCTACACTCATTTTTGTTTTCATAATTTTCCACACTGCTGGTTGTTTCCATGGCTCATTTTATCTGCCCACTTGCCTTGCATAATTTAACTGTGTCAAAAGACGGTAGAATTTGTATTTTATATTTTCATTTCCTGTGATTTGTTTGTATTAGTGAGGTGAATTATGCTTAGGTGACTTATTTGCCTATGGTTATGAATAGGGAGGAAAGATGCTCCAAAAACAGTTTTCTTAATCCTATGATAGCATGACCAAAGCTAAAAAAGCTTTTTACGGTGCACCAGCTATGCCTGTTTATCAAAATAATTTTTGTCAAATGAGAATTAACTTAGTTCCAACTAATATTTAAACATCTAAAATAAAAGATTTTTTCAATCCTGGTATATCTTGAGAAATTTATACAGAACTTAATGGAGTTTGGAAAACTCACATTGTAGACAACAAAGTGAAATTTCAAAAACATATGGGAGTTTTGGCCAACAAATTAGCTGAGTAGACAACTAAGTTAAAAGATTTACAAAATCTTTGTTTCTATATCCTTAAACAAATGAATTGGAATGAAGATTTTAATTTTGAAAAAATAAACAATTTTCTTCAACTATCAGATCTTATATCAGATGAGTTTTCTGATCTAGTTTTTGAGCAAATAAAAAGAATTTGTCTTTTTGAAAAAGTAAGAACTTTGCTTCCAAAATAAAATTTTCTTTTAATATAAAATCAAGTTGAGGATCATCATGATATGATTAGACAAATCTTAGAACGATCCTATGACAAATTAAATTTTAAAGATGGAATTCCAAAAATAACCATCATGACATGTGGTTTTTTGAAGACATAGATTGGGGAATAACTAATTAAGTTATTTTTCAAATTTTAGATCCAATTCAGTGGGTAGAGTATCCAATGATCATGAAAGCAATGCTTTCATGGAGAGTAAAAGGCTTCCGATGGAGTAAATATTTTACTTTTTGGATCTCCAGCATAATCTGTTGGCAAGAACCAGAATATTTTTTCCAATCATATCAAATTTGGTATCTTAAAGAAACAGAATATTTTGAATTTGAAGATGACTATTTGGATGATGATCGTCGGAGGGAGATGGTCACAGATGGTAGAATACTATTTGTAACTCATTTTCCTATAACATATCAAAGGTCTCCTACACAAATTAATGAGGCTCTTGACATATTATTAAATCTCAAAAAGAGAAATAATTTAGCCATGATCGCGGATGATGTAGAACAATATCGAAATGAGCAATACAACCAAGATCCTGATTCTCTTCCATCAGAGACTGATGAAGAATATCACAATCTCGTAAAAAGTATGGAAGCATAATGGACCCCACTATTACATGCAGTTGTTGTTCGAATAGGAAATTACATTCACATGTTAGAATATGAAATTATATTATTCTGATTTGTTCCTTGATTGATGTAATGGACTGTTATGAGTTGGCCCTTAATTCATGCCTTATGACACTCCTTTAATTATGCTTTATTTCTAATATAAAAGGGGATGAGATCTCGTTCATTCCCTAACTCTTTCTTTTCTCTAAAACTATTATGGTCTCAGAGCCATAAACCTAAACCTATACACCACCCTACAGCCACCACACAGCCGCCACCAATCCACCTATCGAGTTTCATCAACTTCTTGTGAGAGTAGGGGTCCCAACAGCAGCAAAGGTGACCCAGGGTGAGTCGACAGTCACCAAAGGCCACCTAGGCCTAGTCGACTACTGCTAAAAACCCCCCAGGCCTGGTCGACAGTCACCGAAGGCCACCCAAGCCTAGTTGGCTGTTGCCGAAAGCCACCCAAGCCCTGCTGAAGGCACCTAGGTCCTGTCGAAGGCCTACCCAGGCCCTGCCGAAGCCACCTATGCTACTTGATTGCTGTCGGAAGCTCACCAGGGCTAGTCGGCACCTCTTCTGGTCATTCGATAGTGTCCCTGTCTGTTTCGGCTCCATCCACTGCTCTGCTGCCCTTCGCCGACTCTGGTTCTGGGTATGATCTGATTAGTTCATCTGTCTGTTTATCTGTTCTACCCAGTACCCAACTTTATGTCTCTGTTTGCTTGATGGGTCGCTTTTTCGTCATTTAATAGGGCCCTTTTTTACTTTGAAACTGAATATTATATTACGATCCCCTAGTGGTCAGTGCTACACATTGCTTGTTCATCCCATTCGATCTTTCCAATTTTTGTGATTAGTGTAGTATTCTTGGGTTAGGATTGTTAGAATAGGAAATAATTGGTTGTATTCTTATTCATTCCTTTTTTGATTACTCAGACTATGCCTGTAATTGTTCAATTATCAATATAAAAGGGAATGAAGTCTAACTCATTCCCCAATTCTTTTTTTTCTTTAAAACTACATGGTATCAGAGCAACGGGCATAGCCCGCGTCGACCTTTTATCTAATAAATGCATCCCTTCCGGAAGTCGGGGTTTGTTGCACGTATTAGCTCTAGGATTACTATGGTTATCCGAGTAGCAAATATAGGCATAGTCTGAGTAATCAAAAAAGGAATGAATAAGAATACAATCAATTATTTCCTATTTTAATATTTCCTATTCTAACAATTTCCTATTCTAACAAGGATTGTAGAGTATATATAGTTGACTTGATCAGTGAATCCATCCCTATTTCTTAGCCACGAAAGGGGGAGAGTCCTATAATGACTACTACATCTGACACTCTGAATCCTAGCCTTAAAATCACCACCTCTCTATTTAGGGGTTGATTAGGAAGTGGGTTTGGGTGGGTTTGGAGCTAAAATAGCTACAAAGAACAAAATAGGCTTTTTATCCCTAATAAGACAAAACATCACATTCAATCCATAATCATTACATTCTTTCTCTAAAAAAAAATCAAAAAAACCAAAAACCCTTCCCAAACCAGGCTTTTTAGCCCCAGGCTAAAATAGCCAAAAAAGTCAAAAAGCCAACCCACTTCCCAAACCAAGCCTTAATGGTCAGAACTACTTAGAATGGTCACAGAGTCAGACCCTTTCTCTCAAGAGTAGGGGAAAGATGGGTTATGTCGATGGGAGAATACAAGCACCTAGCCTCACAGATTCTAGTTATGACCAGTGGGAAATTACAAATTCTCTGATCATGGGATGGCTGATACACTCTATAGTTCCTGAGATTGGTGAAGGATACTTGTCCATGGATACTGCACAGGATATTTGGGAGGCTATGGCTACTACTAATTCTCGCAAAGGGAATTTCTCCCAAGCATTCGAATTGCGTCGATCCATTGAAAGGTTAGTATAAGGTGAGATGACTATCCTCCAGTATTTTACCTTCCTTAGCATTGGTGGAAGCGTCTTGATCACCTTCAGGATTATAAGCCTGTCTCTCACTGATTCTGTTGGTTATCAAAACTTTGTGGAGCAAGAGCGGCTCTTCA